GTAGGGTTCAAAGAGACCTTCTATGTCAATTGTTATATTATTAGGTAAACTCTAAGAAGAAAATCTTTTAATCCACTGTGGCTAATCCAGTCCACTTTTGTTGGCCAGGACATATTCAGCATCAACAAAAGGCTCTGGCCGACGGACACCGGCATACATAATGTATTTATAACTGCGGGAGCCTGCTCGGCGGCAGAAAGAGCCACTGCTTGGGCCAGCGGCGGGGGCCGGGGCGGAGGATTTGCCTGACTTTTATCAGTTTTATTTTCATTTCAAAGAACCCAGCTGATATTTGCACTCTGCCGCTTACCAGGGGGAGCACAAAGAGGGCAGGGATGTTTCCCAGCACCGGCCAGCCCCGAAAACCCACTGGGACCCCACCAGGACCCTCACTCCTCGCCTCCCACCGGGGCTGGGCCGGGGTGGTGGTGGCAGAGAGGGCTGCAAGGGCAGGTTTGCCCCATGCCTGGTTTTGGGGTGATGGTTCCCATGGGAAGCTGGCAGCTGGGCACAGCTGGGGTGGCTCTCCCCGAAATGGCTGTCCTGGGCTGGCAGGGTCCCCTAGGATTTACCCTGGGAAGGTGCTTTTGTCCTGGGATGGGGGGAGTCACCTTCCCACAAGGACGTGGGATACAACTGACGTGAGGGAAGAGCTGCAAAGGGCCGGCACCGCAAGGCGGAGAGCGGCGCATGGGTAGACCTCATCCTCCAAACCCGGGGAAAGCAGAGACCAGAGCTGAGGAACCTGAAAAGCAAATAAAAACCAACGGCGGCGAAGAGCAGGTGGGATGTGAGCGCGGACCACGTGGCCACAGCCTGGCCGACGTGGGGTCTTCTGGCAGGAGGAGGTGGGAGCTGGTGGGACCAACCTGAGATGGGTCGAGGCGGCAGCTGTGAGCTGCCGGTTGTGGGTGCTGGTGGTGAGCAGGGGGCATTGGCCACCCAGCTCCTTCAGGTCATGGGCATTGCCCATCCTGAGCAATGGGCAGGTGCTGGAGCCCCCCAGGGCAGGGCTGGGTGGGGGCCTACGCCGGGTCCACAGCAGGACAGGAAGGGACGGACGGCCAGGCTGGGTCCACAGACTGAGCCAGTGATTGAAAATGGCTGTGAAATGCCTGGCTGGACGGGAACTGCTGGCCATGGGACAAGAACGGGACTGAGCAGCAGAGACCTCCACAGAGCAAAGGAAGCAGGGTCTCCAGCAGGGGTGAGCTCACTCAGGAGCTCATGGTTGTCCCAGGATGCCACTGAGGCAAAAACGTCCTTATTCCCACGGTGGGTAGCTCAGTGCCATCCAAGGCTAGTGGCTCAGATCCAGCCGTGAGGATCTTCACGGAGACACAGCAACAGAGGGACCAAAAGAGCTTGCTTGAAAGAGCCAAGAGGGCTCGGCCAGGGTTTGGTCCTCGTGACAAGGGACAGCAAAGGAGAGGAGCCCTCTCCTGAGGGAGGGGGGGTCACCACACCCCCAGATGCTCCCCAAGGTGGGCACAGGGTGTTCAGCCATGGGGTAGCACTAACGGGGCACTGATGGGCAGCACCAGTGTGAGTGGCCTGGGAAGCAGAAGAAATGGCCTCTGAGGGACACTGCGAGCCCTGGGTCAAGCTTTTCCACTTTCACTGCGCTCACAGGTGCTTGGGGTCACCAGAACTACAGTCTTCCTCAAAGGTGGTCAAAATGGCCCATGCTCAGAAGTTTCTGCAGGGAATGGATGCACATACAGAGTGCAAAGCCACGAGTCACCGGCCCTGGATGGTCCACCCCGAGACCCACCAAGGGAGCCAAGGGATGATGCTCTCCAAAAGGCTGGAGCATACTGGGGGCTGCTGGGGGGCCCCGGCTCGCTGAGCCTCGCTGTCCAACCCAACCCATTGCTCTAACCATTGCCAAGGCATCCCCAAAACTCCTGCTGCATCCAGAGGTCCACCCAGCGCAGGAGCTGCTGGGCCAGAGCGACACACAAGGAGCACAAACCACCCGTGAGACAGAGGGTGAGACTTCAGGCTAAATCACCCATTTCCATCAGGCAGAAGTTTAACATCGGGGGCTGGAGAGGTGCCAGGCTCCAGGCAGCTGTTGAATGTGAGACTGAGCCTGACTCGGAGATGTTCAGTGTTGGAGATCTGAAAATACCTCACCATTGGGAAGAGGGAGCCTTGGAGCTCCCCTGCAGGCACCTCTGCTCCACGTCCCACTGCAGGAGAAGGCTCAGGTGGGCTGGCATGGCTTGCAGCATGGGCTGGGCTGTCGTGGGATAGCTGCCCACAAGACAGTCATCTCCAGACACAGCCCATGGGTGCCCACCCCACCTCATGGTCCTGGGGGGGGTCAGAGAAGTGTGGGAACAATCCAAGTCCACATCAGCCTCTGTGAGACATGCTCTCCACAGCATGTCATTGGCACACTGGGGAAGCTGCTACCGCAGGAAGATGCTAAGTCCAAGGTCTGGCAAGATTTGGTGTTGTACATCCACCACAGCACGGTTTCTTGTGCTTTGGCCAACTGCAACTATAAAAGATCAGGACGAAACACAATACGAGGCCTGATTTGCTTTGTGCTTGCCAGCCGTGGGTTCTCCTGGGGTTGGTCACCACGCCAGCCAATACTTGCCTGTTGAAGGACTCTGGCAGAGGAGATGTGTTAATAAGAGAAGGCTCTGTCAGAGTGGAGAACACATCCTCTGGGAGAAGATCCAGAGAGCCTAGCACGCTGAGGACAGAAAAACCAAGGCTGTGGGGATGGGGCTGCTGCCTGCTCCCACCACGGTGGGGGAAGAGCTATGCAGGCTGAAGGACACGGCTGGCACAAGCACAAGTGGTGTGAAATGGCTGCAGAGGGGCAGGCTGGACACCAGAAGGTGGCTTCAGCCCTGCAGAGCAGGGGACAGCAGTGGCCTCCATGTCCTGATGGGGACAGGGGCTGAAGGGCTGGGAAGCAGCACTGCTTTATGGAAGATGGTCCAAGGTCTGGTGTCTGGAAGAGATGGGACATGGCAAAGCTTGAGACACCTGCCCAGCCTGATGCCTACGTCTCTGCCAAGTAGTTCTTGCTGTTTTCTTCCCAGGGAAGGAGAAGGCCATGGAATGGTCATGATCGCTGGCCCACGTCTCCCCCAGCTCCCAGTCGTCCTGTCCAGGTGAGGACTTGGCTCTGCTGTGGTTCACCTGCCCACCATGGCATGGGAAGGGGAGGGGATTTTAGGAGAGAGGCAGCCTAGGGTTTCACACCCAGGGAAGAGAGCTACCAAGTGGGGAGCATGAGTGGAAAGGGGCCACTGATGGTCCCAAAAGTGCTAGCAGAAGGGAATGGGGACTCTCATGGCTGACATCCAGCACCAGGGCAGGTTTGCCTTGGCTGTGGAGTACATCTTGGACACCTCCAGAGACACAGACCCCTCCACTTCTCCAAGTTTCCTCCCACAGTGGCTGATTTTGTGAGCAATTTTGCCGGTTCTGTGTCAGGACAACTCCAATGCTCTCCACATCTCGACAAGGGAAAGCCTTGAGATGAATCGACGCCAAGATGATCTCCTGGGCTGGGCTTGTGCTGGGGCAGCTAAAGCAGCAGAAGAGTTTGAAGAACTCTTCCATAAGAGCATGAATAAATGGCACTTGCGGAGCACCCCCAGCTCGTCAGCCGCAGCTCAGCGCAGCATCGGATCGCTAATGAGGAGCAGCAGAGCCTGCACCAGCCTGCCCACCCCCCCAGCCTCCTCCCACCGCCACAGCCCCCCCAACCCTGGCACACTCAGGTGTCCCCAGCTGATCTGCAGCTCTCCAGCCACGGCAGAGGCTCCTCCTCATCGCCTCTCTGTGCATTTTTGCTCTTCTCTGCAGAAGGAAGCAGGTAAATCCCAGGGTCACTGCTGGGATGGGTCCAGCATTTTGGCTCAGCTGGTGCCCAGCAGTGCAGAGCCTCTCCTGGTGCTGTGCCTAAGGCCTCACTCCCACTATGGAAGAGGAACCCTGCAGAGAAGCCTCCTTTCCCAGAAGTGGTGCAGCCCTCGGGCAGGTCACCGGGGTGGAGGGGACACAGCAGTGCGGGGATCTCACCCACCAGCTCAGCTGGGAGGGTTGGCCATCGCTGGGAAGATGGGTGCAGGACAGTTGCCTCAAGGGGGGAGATGGCAAAGGAAAGCAACTCCCACCCGGGGCTAGAGGTTTTGGAGGTGCTGCTGGGAAGCAGGAGGTTGGGAAAGGGGTGGTGGAGGACGGAGTCCCAGTAGGGGTAGGGAGAGACCCCAGGAGGGTCTGTGGCTGCGTTACCGGAGAGTTGGAAGAGCAGGTGGCTCCCAGAAGTGCCCTGCCAGGACTAGGTGTCCCCCAGCTGGGGCTGGCTTGTTCCCCCGGTCTGGAGCAGACCTGGTCCCTTGGTGCAGCACCTTGTGCCGCAGAATTGCCCAGCGAGGGCTCTGGCTGGCAGGCTGTGGCTTCCCCGGCGTGCAGCCGTCCTGCCTGCAGTGGGCAGCCACCAGGAGCCCGTTACCGGCAATTAGCTGCAAACGGCTTCCCAGCCTGGCTGCTGGCCTGCCGGAGCTCTTGGAGCCAAGGCTTCTCCATGGGACAGCATCTGGGGCTTCTAATGCCCTGTCTGAGAGGTATGGAGAAATAAGGGGTGAAAATGTCACGGGGCTTCCCTCAGCAGCACCTGGTGTGACGACAAAGATCCTTCGCCGCAGCCAAGGTCTGGCTGGGTTTTGGACCTGCCCACACCAGCCACAACCTCAGCTGCTGTTGTTGCTTTGTGGGCTGGGAGCTCTCCTGGAGAAGGACAACGGTGAGATGAGACCTGACCTGTACCTGTCAGGTGTGCGTGCAGGTAAAATGATTTCCAGAGCTCGTCCTGAGTGCACGAGTGTTTCTGAGATGGCCTCACAAGCCTCACCGTGCCCAGCGAAGCTGGCCATAAACCCATGGGCCACTAGGTGGACCCACAATAAACCAAAATTGTGTGATAAGAGAGCTCGTTGACCACCTTCCACGTCTCTGGGAAGAACCTTGTTAAAGCAGATGCACTGTCAGCGAGCCTCATCCCAGGAAAGAACTGAAAAAACAGCACCGTACATCCAACTGGCCCCCACCTGGTCACCAGATGTTGGCCAAAACGTGGTCACCAGACCTTGCTTATCACGGAACTGGTTGCCAGCTCCCTGGGAGAGCTGGCCCTCCAGGATGGATGAGCCAGGAGCGTGGGGACAAGCACTTGCTCCCCAAGCCGGACTGCTGATAGGGATCGTATCAAAACAGTCAGGCTGGAAGTCTGCAAGGCTGTAGGACAGACATCAAGGCATCGCTGAGCACTCAGCTTGCTTTCGCCAGCCAGGCTAGTGACCACATCTAAGCCTGAAGATCTCACCCAGTGTTGCAAAACTGATCTGCAAGAGCAGAGCAACTGATATTTCCAGCAGGACTCTTGACATCAGGCCTTCCCTTACGCCCTTGGCAGCCCAGCTGGTCGGGATCACAGGTGGCTGGATAAAGGAGATCCGCCTCTCCCACCAGGATCAAACAGGTTGCATTAGCACAGGCTGCTCCAGGGCAACCCTGCCAGCAGGGACCAGCTGTCTCAATGCAGCGGTCACCGATGTGAGCCACCAGCCGGAGCCCACGTTCTTGCCCAGGAACGGTGCCCACCACCTTGTCCTGGCTGACCACGGGGACACGGGAGCAGCAGCCACAAAGGGTGAGCGAGCGATGCCCTGGGGCAGGTGGGTGAGCCCTGGGTCTGCAGTGGGGCTTGGGGACCAGGGACAGGGATGTCCCCCCAGTGCCACTGCTCCCTCCTGCCTCGGCTCTGCAAGGTGGGACCATTTCTATAGTGATAACTGCTCCAGAGCCCCCACACTCAGGGAAGGGATGGTCCCAGCATGGCCTGGGGCAGAGCAGAGCCCGCACCAGACATCTCCATCTCATGGAGGGCCAAGATATGAAGTGTGTCCTTCAGGACCACAGGAGCAGGACCCCCTCCTGCAAGTGGGGACTGGAGGGTGTCCTCACCTGGCCCAGCTCCCCCGCAAGCATCTCCTGGGCAAGGTGATCCCAGTGGGGACAAGCTGACATCTCTTCTCTCTGCAGAGCGGCGCTGCTGGGACGTGCGTGGACGGCGTCCCACCCCCGGCCACCCGAGAGGAGCGGCGAGCCTGGTGGTCTGGAGCATGGAGAGGCAGGCATGCGGGGTGCAGGCCTGGGGCGGACCCCAAAGGTGGGTGCGGGAAGGCGCGTGGGGTGGGACATCGCCCAGGGGTGCCCACCTTCACCAGCCGGTGATGAAGAGCATTGGGCATCAGCAATGCTGGCCAAGTGTGTGTGTGTGTGTTGGCTTTTGGCAAAGAGGGTTGGTGAAAATTGGGGGAGTCACGGGGTCTCGGGTCTGGCAGGGGTCTGGCAAGCTCTTTGCTCTGCATGGGCAACTCTTCCCCAAAAGTGACACAGGGGCCAGGGGGAGGGCAGGGGGACACCAAGGTCCTGGTGTCAGCCCATGCGCATCTCTCCCGCGCCGTGGCCCAGGGTGGCAGCATCGGCTCCTTGCCTGAGCAGGGCTGGGGCACACGCTGCAGCCTCGCTACTCAGCAGGGACGGGCTCAGCAGCCGCCCACCGCCCGCTCCCACCCTGAGTGAGCTCCCAGAGGGAGCTATGTCCCTGCCCAGGTGATGTCAAGGTTTAAGGACTTGAATTTCAACCTTAAATCTCACTTGTAGCTTTAGTCCCATAGCTTTTGCCGCAGGTTTTGTGCAACCCCTAGAGCATCATTGGATGGTTCATCAATTACAGATGATTTTCTAGGAGCTCGCACCTACCCCAAGGTGTTGTCACTGTGCAAAGAGAAATAGCTGAGGGGTTATTGAGTGATCAGCCTCCCAAGGCATGGCATGAGCTTGTCTGTAATCCTTTGGGGGGGAAACACCAGGTTTAGGGGCTCTGTAATGTGGCAGGCGAAGGCGAAGCAGAGCTGGGGGAAGGAGGCTGATGCCAGGGCAGGCACAAGGGGAAACACCAAGCGGGGATGCTGCTGGGGCTGAAGGCAGAACGAGACCCTGGGGAGAACAGGCCAGGGTGCCGGGGACACTGCAGGGGCTCTGGGTAATGCACGGGGGCTTCCCTCTGCCGTACGGGCATCTGCGCCACCACGGGCAAACACTGGCAGCTGCAAAAACTGCTGCCCGAGCTGGCCCAGGCCCTCCTGCCCTTACGTTCCTGGAAGGAGGCCACCCTGGCCAGAGGGCTGGAATTTCTCTTATTTTTCACGTGAGCAGTAAATAACTTTGCCCCATCCACCCACCCTAGCCCTGTACCTGAGAGGGAGGAGGTCCAGGGACCCCCGACACACCCTAAGGATTTGCAAACAAGCACCCATGTGGGAATGGACTGGGAAACTGGGACGACTTTGCTGGAGAGGAAGGACCCGAGCACCCAGAGCAGCTGAGCCCCGGCATCCGTCCCATCAGCCTGGAACCGCAGGCTCAGGCATGGACTTTATAAAAGAGCAGCATTTGAGCAAAAAGGCGTAAGCTTGGTGGCCAGATCGTACTTCACCCTCTTTGCCCAGCACTGGAGACAAATCCAAGGCAAGCTGACAAATTTGGGTGCGTTTGCCTCTTCCGAGGTGGGGAATCCAAAGCCAGAGGTGCATCAGGCTGCCCACGGGGACTCGGAAAGCGGCTCCTGCTGCTCTGCAGATGCCGTGGGGGGCCGGCATTGCCAGGATGGAGAGATCTCTTTAGACCAATGCCTCCTGCAAGAAGGCGTGCTGTGAGAGTTCAAACCAGCATCACCCGCTTCAGCTCTCGCCCCCAGCTCCTGGCATGGCTGCCGGTGGGCATCCTCGCTGTCCATGCCAGGGGGTGCTCTGTCCCTCCCAGCCCAGTGGGGCAGGAGCTCCCAGTTCCACTTGCTCCACTTGCTCGTCCCCTCCATGGCAGTGCCGCTGGGCTGCGGGACCCTTGTCCCAGCCGGGCTCTTCGGGGTGCCCTCGGTGCCACAATTCCAGTACTTTTATCTTGACTGCTCATACATTTTCTTGCTCCTGCTCTGCAAGCGTCATCTTGCCAGCGGTCCAAGAGAGAGCTAGCAGCCTCCCCTTCCACCCCAAGATATTTTTTTCTGGGCAGCTCCTTCTGCCATCATTGCTCATGTAGCCAAACCCCAATTCCTGCCTCAGAAATGAGGGTGCTCCAGGCACGAGGCAGGGATGCGGTAGGCAGAGGGCCTCTCTGAGGGTGAGTTGCCTTTTGCTTCCGCCAGCGATCGGTGTAGGACCTCATGCTTCAGGTTATTTCTATTTGTCCTCCAGTTTCAAAAAGTTTTTTCCATAAAACTGAAATTCGGCACCACTTACGACCTTGCAGGGGCCTTTGAAATCACAGCCAAAGGTTGAACAGCACCATCTAGTGCACTTCATCCCGAAACTGCCCGCGCCGGAGGGACGCCGGCTCTCGCCCACGCACATCTCTGCCGTTAGAAGGGTACGCTGGATGCTAAGAGCCCACCAGCCATCAAACACCACCACCGGCTCACGCCCGCCTTCCTTTGGGGAAGCCGGTGAGTCACTGCAAAGAGGAGAATTAATTTGAGATGAATATTGTCAGCGCTGAAGCTGAACCGGGCACTCTCAGCCTCTGCAGAAGTGATGCTGGAAGGCTCGCGGCTCCCAAGCCGACCCGGCAGGGAACTGTCGGTGCTAGCGGAAAACCTCCCTTCGCAGCTCCGAGAGCTGGGAGCGCAGGGCTTGCAGGGAGGCTCTGCCAATCGCAACCGTTGCGTGCACCGTGTCGGGCTGCTTGCATACGGCCCCAGGCCCTTCAGGCCAAATGCTGAGAGCCAGCATTTGATGGCTCTTCCAGGCAGAAATGAATGCGTGCACCAGGAGCCAGGAAGCGTACGGCATCCCGGGCTTGCATGGGGACCAGCCTCGGCTGCAGGCTGACGCCAGATCTGCACCAAAACCCTGCTGGCATCCCAGCTGTGGCAGTTTTGGGAAGGTGTAAGGCAGGGCCACGCTACCAACTGATGAAGAAGGGAGAAATGATCCAGTTTGGTTCATTGGCTTCTACCCTTTGTTGAAAGACTTCGCAGGCTGATTTTCTGCCCCCCCACCCTGCGTAGCCAGAGATGCTCAGTTTGGTTTTTTGTCTGTCTGATGTCCATGGTAGCTTGGTCTCTGGAAGTACCTGATATGGGCTCCTGACAGAGCGCAGGGACCGGGCCCCTTGGCTTGGGTGAACTGAGATGTGAAAGACAGGGAGGGGGCTCCAGAGGGAGCCCATGGCTCTCCCAGCCCCGCTCGGCCCTGCTAGAGGACCAGAAGATGGCAAGGCACCAGGAGAGCTTGGCATCAGCCTGCGGGGAATTCGGCTCTTCCAGCCCACAAAGGGGCCGCTGCCTTGGCTGGACAGGGCAGCGCTGGCTCCGCTCTCGCAGGGCACCAGGATGGAGCGTGCAGGCAGCGGTGCTGTGCTGCTGGAAGGGACCCGCTGGCTGGGCTGGAGCTCAGTCCTCACCCCGGGCTGTGTCCCCTGAGCCGGGGAACGTGGCTGGGAGCTGGTGGGTGCAAGAGAAGCCCCCGGCGCTTCTCTGATGGCCCCAAGGAGCAGGATGCAGCCCCGGGGCACATCAGGCCCCCTGCATTTCAGCCACCTGCACCCCGGTGCACCCGAAATCTTCACCCCCACCCCCTCAATTCCACCCCCTTGCCACGGAGAAATCCGTCTCCGGTTTCTCAGGCAGACTCAGTGTGGGCCATGAAATCTTGCTGGGCCTTTCTCTGGGAGATGAAAAGCTCCCCAATGCCCGATCATCTCTCACCCATGAAGTTGCTTAAGCGCTGTAATCGAGGCACCTCTGGGGCTCCTTTGAACTACGCGAGGCGGCTTCGGTTCTCAGGCATCCTCCTGCAAAGGGGTCAGTTTTTAACTCTTCTCCACCGCCCCTCTAATTTCTCAGCAACCTTTCTGAAACGCGGATGCCGGTAGCACCCAGCCCCGTCCCGGCCAGGACGTCCCCCGTGGGGAGCCGGCTGCTCCCACCCTGTCCCTCCTGCCTCCCAAAATCCCTCCCGAGCCCGTCCCCGGCAGAGCATGGGTTTCCAGCAGCAGGGCCCTGCGCTCGGCGATGGGATCCTTTCACAGCTGCTCACATTCAACCACGTTTTATTCGCCCGGGACTCAGCTTATGAAGTTTTTCTACAGCTGTCTTGACCTCGTCCGTGTCTCCTGCCCCTCTCATTTCCCTGGCCCCGGCGTTTTTCTCAGCGGGGCTTTTTAATCTATTTCTAGACCATTGATGGAAATGCTGAATAGCGTTGGGCTTCCCATCCAAGCCCCGGACACCCACTGAGAGCGTTCCCATTCTGCAGGGATTCCCCATTGATGGCTGTCGGTTTGCCAGCTCCCAGTCCCTTTAAGGTGTCTCTCTTGATGTTGTATTGTGCTAATTTTTAATCAGAATACTATATGGATTAAGTCACATGCCTGAACAGAGTCCAGGTCTATTATTTCTATGCCATAACCTTTATCAGCCAAACTTGTAATCTCTTCAAAGGATGACATCAGAGTTTGACAAGAGCTATTTTCCAGAAACCAGGCTGATTGCATTAATTATATTCCCATCCTTTAATTCTCTACCAGCTGAATCCCACATCAGCTTTTCTAGTATTATGCCCGAGATCAGTGTCGCACTGCTCCATGTAAATCAGCTCCCAGCATCGTTCACATGAAAGAGCATGAGGAGCCGCACCGTCCTGCCGGGCTCAGCGCGGGGGCGGGAAGGGGAGTGCCGCTGCCCGGGGTGGACTTCTGCATGTTTCAGAAAGCTGGAAAAAAAAAATGTTGCACGTTTCAGAAAGCTGGAAAAAAAAAATGTTGTACGTTTCTGAAAGCGTTCCCTAAATGCACGGAAACCAGCACATGCAGTAGAATAACTGCATCAAAAACCAGAAACCATCCCTCTCGGAAATCTGAGTAGTTTCTGATTTTTAGAGGACTGTCTCAGGGCTTGCTTGCGCGTTCAGCTTTTGGGATGGTACCTAGGGGTCTGCCTGGCTCAGCCCCAGGGCTCCAACCCCATCATCGCTTTCCAGGGAAGAAGCAAGCTTTGCAATTCCCCATCGTGCTACTCTCATTCGGTCTCTGCATCTGGTAGCCTCCTCCTCCTCCTTGCAATGTCCCCCATGGCTCTGGGACAGCACTGCCGTCTCAGTGCCAGGGTATCCTGCCTGGCCAGAAGCTCCATCTCGGGGTAAGACCCCCTCCCCACCGCCTTTCTTGGGAGTCTCCATGTTGTTTGACCCATTTCGGTCCATACAGTGCCACCACCTCTTGGCGAGTCCCCTTATTTCTCCCCACCGCAGAACTGCCCCGCTCAGAGAAGCCGGGCACACGCTGCAGTTCCCAAACCAGCTCTGGTTGTTGGCAGAGGCAAGAGCCGCTGGGGGCCCAGCCACTGCATCCCTGGGCCCACTGGTGTGTGGCCTCCCCTGGGCAGAGATTGGCTGAAGACCTTGCCTTCGGGTCCCAGATGGAGCAGTAGAGGCCCAGGGTGGCTTTTTGAGGGTGGCTGTCCCTTCCCTGCTGAGCCAAGCCGGCTCCTCCACCAGGCCTCGGAGGTCTCCAAGGCGTGACCCCCTCCCGGGCTGCTCAGGAGCTCTGCCGGGCTCCTCTTGGCCGGAGCCCTGCAGCCGCGCAGCCCT